GTAGCATTTTTACAATAAAATCTTAGATGCTGAACATTTATATTGCTGGTAATTACTTACAGGTAGCGTGGGGAAAAATTTCAATGGTCGATGCAGAAAGAAGGCTTTTATCAAATGCACTCAAAGATCCTGACAACCAGCATTTTGTTCTACTATCTGACAGGTGCCTGGATGATAATGTTGTTTTCAAATCCTTTCTTTCTCTAAATTGTGAGTACACGTCACTTATCATTTTCCAATTAAATATTTTTCTGAAATGCAGTTGCATACCATTGCGTGAATTTGACTATGTGTACAACTATCTCATGTACACAAATACAAGCTTCATAGACAGGTAAGCCTGCTGTTTGTTCCATATCAATAATTATGTGGGTAGCTTCTATGATGCCGTCAAGATCTTAACCAATTGGGTTCGTTTGAAGTTTAGATGCCTGCTAAAAATAATATGAAAAGTGGACTAAAATTCATTCAGCTACTTAGTGAAAAAAAAAATAGTTTTGTGCTTGAAATAAAATAAAATTACACATCAGAATTTTTTTTTGGAATTCAGTAACATATTAAAGTTGGAATATGTTATGTTACATACAAAGCCATAATAAATACTTTAGTCAAAAGTTGGATGGAAGGAAAATGAGAATATAACATCATTATGAAAAATTACAAGATCTAAAAAGTATACTGCTTAATATTTTTTCTGTCGTTGCTAGCTAAGCCCCTGTTTGGTTTAGCTAGAAAATTTGATTAAAATTCCGGTCAAAGTCAACATTTCATGATACCCACACATTTTATCTAAACCAAACAGTGGCTAATATTGATAGCTGAGATAATTTATCATCAAGTTTATGTTTGTCCTTAAGGTATTATTTTTATTTATCCTTATATTCATCCAATTGTTGAGTCATTTTGGTGTTGGCAAATTTTAAAGGTATCTGAACTCAGTACAAACTCTAATCAAAAGTGTGTTTGAAGTTCTGAAGGCTAATATTAATTTACATTAGCAGTGGTTTACATGAGGAGTTTATCTCCTGCTTAAGTTGAAGATTTATCTAACTTTGTATAAATTAACCACACATTCTATATTCTTCCAAATTTTGTAGTGAAATAATTTTTTTTTTTTTTTTTTTTTTTTAACGTAACAGCATTTTCCCAATATAATAACCATTTTGCACGGTTCCTTGCAAGCCAGAGAGGGTGAAATGAACCCACAGGACATAACGTAGTTCAACGAGTAGATAGCTCTGAAAATGAGTTTTATATTGCAAAAAATATTAATTATTCTGGTTTGTTTGGTTTGATTCTTTATGGCATTTTGTCTTGAAGGTGTCAAACAGTGATGTTCATCACAATGCAATCATTTGCATGTGAATTTGTATTTGGATAGCAGTAATAAGCAGTAATCTTCTTTTCTGCAGCTTTGAGGATCCTGGTCCACATGGGAGTGGGAGGTATTCTGAACATATGTTACCCGAAGTTGAGAAGAAAGACTTTCGTAAGGGTGCACAGGTATGGTTTTTGGCTGATAATAAGGGAAATATTTAGAGTTTGGCCATTACTCAATCTTTGGAAATGGATAAATGGTTAATGAATGGAATCAAACAGATATGTTTGACATTTTTTCAACATATATGAAATCTTATAGCTCAAGTTATCTCAACTGGAAAAAAAAAATGCGCATATAATTTTTGGTTGGAGATCAACACAATCTCAGAACCTTTCCAGGGAGAAAGCCAATAGGTTTTGGTGTTGAGATATTGATTCTCAAATAACAATTCCTTGTAGCTTTGACTTTGAACTTGCCCATCAAGTTATTCAATTCGCGCACTCTTACATGTGCATCTATCATCTCCTTCCGAGTGGACCTAGGGTTTGACATTCTGCTTTTAGATAAGTTTCTCATTTGAACTATTTAAATTACCTTCTTATGATGGATTTTATTTGAATATTTCAGTGGTTCACAGTGAAACGGCAACATGCGGTTATAATTATGGCTGATAGTCTCTACTATACGAAATTCAGGGACTATTGCAAGGTGAATTTAGTTTCTTCTTGTTCTTCTTACTTTTATGTTGATTTTATTTCTTAGGTTTTTCTTGGTATCTTTTTGAAACACTCATAAATTGGTCTTTGTATATACCATATACCCGAGCTGATGAGCCTAGACCAATTGCATTTCAAATTTTTACTCCCTTTTTTCATGTGAGAAAATAGCTGTAATCTTTGGGTTTATGTTTTTGGTGTACTACTTATATCCTGGTTGAGTTGGGTGATTGATTAGTTAGATTGAGCCTGTCATCACTTATTTTACGAATCCACGAATGGATATCTTTCTAAACAACTTGTATAAATACAATATATTTGTTTGATGGTTTATTTTGTCAAAAAATTCATACTTTTGTATATGGTTCACTCAACCACTTCTTGACGTCTATTTTTCTGATTTTAACAGCCAGGTATGGAATATGGACGCAACTGCTATTCTGATGAACACTATTTGCCTACTTTTTTCCATGTGAGAATAGTTAACATATGATTTCTTTGTTCAAGTTTAAGACAACTTTTAGTCTCCTCTTTTTTCTCTCTTTTTTTATTTTCTAAATCATTTTAAAGGAAATAATTTCCCCTTGCATTTTCAGATTCTTGATCCATCTGGAATTGCAAATTGGTCAGTAACACACGTGGATTGGTCTGAAGGGAAGTGGCATCCAAAATCATATCGCAAGCAAGATGTTTCTTATGAGCTGATGAGAAATATTACAGTATGGCTCGGCCTTTTCATCAGAAATTTTACATTGATTGCATTTGAAGTTTTTTATGTTTTTCTCAAGTGCAATGACCCACCTTATTTCCAAGAGTTTAGGCAAATTTCCCTGCAGATTCTGCACTTTTACGGTTCTAGGAGATGTATTCAAGTTTATGATAAAACCTCAGAAACTTTTCTACTCAAATATATTACTGGATAAGCAAGTAATTTTTATCAACTTATCTGCATCTGTAACATCAAGTCCATCTTTGTTGGCACTGCGCCTAGCAATCTGAACATTTTAAGGAGCAAAATTGTTGCATTGATGTTGCATCCAAGTTTTCTACTTTTTGTTTTTGTTGACTAATGAACCTATATTGACACTTTCTTTCCACCATCTTTGTAGTCTATTACAGAGAGTCTGCATGTTACAAGTGAAAAAGTGGTTAGTATCTTTCACGAAACACATTGCTATCTTGAAGTTTTTTTATATTTGTATTTAGAAGACGATCATTCTTTTGTGCTGCAGAAGGAAATTCAGATTAGGCCATGCCTGTGGAATGGAAAGCAGCGACCTTGTTACTTATTTGCAAGGAAATTCTTACCTGAAACTCTTGATAATTTGATGCTCCTTTTCCGCAATTATACATCAATTTGAGTGGACTGATAAAAAGTATTGATTCTTTGGTCAATTCAAGAGTTGCATTCAACCCTGTTCGTCTCTGTTCTCGTTGTTGTAAATTGCCTCTCTTGATATAGCATTGAGTACACTCCCCAAGATGGCTTCTTTTTGAGTGCAAGGGCAACCTGCAGAGCTGTGAATGTGTTTTTAAACCGAGTTGATGAGTGAAGAACTTTGCTGCCAATGTTGTGCTTCCTTGGGGACGGTGATTTTGTGTTCAATTTTTTCCTCCATTTTGGGCTATTTGTTACATTCCCATCTCTGGACAAAAACACTGGCACTGTTTGGGTGACCTTTGTAGAATTGCAAATATGGCCCCAACAGGGACAGTTTTCTATTGTTTTATATAGTTATGATTTCCCAATGTTTCTTCTTTCAAGTAGAATTCCCCAAATCAGAGTATATAATGAAAATTTTGTAGTAAAACATTTCTTCTTGTTCTTGTTTTTGACGATTTCAAACTATGTTGTGCTGATTAGTTTTCCATTTATGTATATTTTCCTTTCTTGTTTGTCTCCTTTTTTTGTTTGATATTTATCTACATATTACTTTTGTACATACAAGTTAAAATATATTTTCGCAAATTTTATAGTTCACATAATTTCCTTCGATACACATAGCCGGGGAAAAAGAATACCATGAAAGACTGTTACCCAATGTCATTGATCTTCCTTTACATATTACATAACTACAACAACTACTACTACTTTGTGAAGTGTGGGTATGAATAAGAATGAGAGTAGGCAATGCGAATATTGCAGATGATAAAGAGCACGATTTCAACATTTTTTCTTTAATAATATCTAGTACTCTCCGACCCATCATGGGGATCGTGTCATTGAGGTCATGGGGATCGTGTCATTGAGGTTAACTACGTCCTCCACCGTCATGGCTCTCGACCGGAGGTACAATTATTGGAGCGGGGGGGACAAACTTCTGATTTGGTAAGCAGTCCCATCCAGTTTCCTTGCTGTGAGACGTAGTGAAATGCTTGGGAATCCAACTTTCTCCATTTAACTTAGCCTCTCTAGCATGCTCTCTCTGCCTTTCTTCAATACTTGTCTTTGCTTCTTTTGCTTTAGCCCAGCATTTTTGAAGGATATTTTTGCTCACCTCAGCCCATACCAAAGTTGATTCACTTGGCAGAATGCCCTGGAGCATATCAAGAAATCACACAATCAATTCCACGAAAACGTGTGTATATTTCCTATTAACAAACAACAAAAATCGTGTCTATGCTAGGAGAAAGCCAAAAGTCCATAACATGGTTTGGCGCTGACCTTAATCTAATGATAGGAATTGTATTGTTGGAATTTGATTACCTTCGGGTCATTGACAATAGGAGTCTTCAGTCCTGAAATTGCCTCCTTTGCATTGTAGATTACCGTGACTTTTCCACTGAAAACATCCTTCACTGTGACAGTTCTACATATTGAATGAGGAGAAAATTGAACAAAAAATGAGATACTAACTAATATTGAAACAAATGAAGTATATAAAAAATAATTTCCGAATTAACAATATAAAGTTCCGAGAGTGTTGATCTTTAATGCAGATTTTTAATAGAGAAGTGGTCTGAATCTTGTAAGAAACCAGATAAATAGCAATTAACCAAACATGGGAGTCCCAGTAGATAATTTTCAACCACAAATGACCAAGAACAGGAAAACCAAGCCTTGTTCAGAATAAATTTAGGGTTGCCTATATCAAACTTTCCCATCACTTCGTTTAGTGTGTGTTTCTTGTCTAACAACTAAAGCTTCTAGTCCTTAGATGAAGTGGTTCAAAACTATACCTATGTCAAGCATGACTTCTTGGTCAAGAAAATAGATTTCTGACTGGATGTTCCTACCCCACCATGTCTGTCCTTTTACTTCATCTTACAAAGAAAGAAGAGGTATGTAGCTCGGGAAATTAAGAATGCAAGAAGTACGTATGATCGTCAGTAAACTGTTATTAAAATACTTCATCAAATTAATCTACGATCCAAAGCAACTAGAATAGCCCTTGTTTGGCACCCATTCTCTTTCTCATTTTTTTTCTCTTTTTTCATTTCAACCACACATTCTATCAATAAAATAATATTACACATAAACCCAAAAATTCTCATTACTTTTTAACCACACATTCTTCCATCAATCACTATTCCAAAATTTATTTTTCGTCAAAAACAGGTGTCAAACAGGGGCTTTATAAGTCACAATACTTAATTAGGTCACAATTTATCAATTTATTGGTCACAATTAATAATTTTTAGGTCACAAATTAATAAATTTTTTGTCACAANTACAGAGAAAAATAACAGATGTTTAAAAAGCATAATAACTCAATATTTGACTTTAACATACCTATCCCAATGGCCATCAACAACATACATAGTCTTGGGAGAAGATGACATGAAGATTTTTCCTTTTATAGAACGGTGGACAGATGGTCGAGGTAAAAACGAGTTGCCTCTGTAGTTTAACTCAGCTTCAAGGCCAGTTTCTTGACATTTGATTGTAACGTTTCCCAACCAGTCAACACTGGGCATAGGGAAGAATCTGATCACAAGTTTTGGTGAGTTCATTATGTAAGTTTCATTCCTATCAAGGAGCTTCAACTGCCTTTTTCCTTGCACCTCGGTTTCAATATTAGTGCCTAAAAAATTCAATCAGGTATCTACATATGTTTAGAATTTGAAATGTTACACCTCTGTTTGAGACACATTAAAATTTTCATTATCATTTTTCTACTCATTTTCAACCACACATTCTTCAATAAAATAATATTTTACATCATATCGATAACTTTTCCTTATTTTTCAACCACATCAATCTACTATTCCAAAATACATTCTTCCAAAATAATATGGTTCAAACACACCCGAAGTTATTCTAGGCTTCAGAAAACATAGGTGAAAATAAATGAAAATAAACGAAGATCCTTGAATTGTTAACTTGCTGCTAGTCATTTATGAAAACTGTACATGTACGAGACTTCTCATAAAAAGTAAATTAGCCCATCAAGTTTTGAAAACACTTCTCCAATAATTTAACGTTTTAGACGAGTTAACAATGGTGTCATATAGTTTATTTCCCATTCTTTATGACCTACTGATACTTGTATGAAGTTCAAAATTTCCAATATAAAAACAACTAAAATTATAGCCCATCTAACCCGAATTTCTATATCACACTCAAGTTGTAAAGGTTCCTGTCAATAACTAATCAAAATTTTAAAGCGAAGGATTTAGAGTAGATAATCGAATACCATAGAACTTTGGAAGGGGACAATGACACCATATGATTTCTATGTTTTCCTTCTCATCTGTTGCATGAAGAGCAGTCACTGGTGGGTGATGCGAAACCTAACAACACGAAGGAACGAACCCTCAGTCAATGTTCGGCATGCTAGATTGGATATATAGGATGAAAGAAGAAATGCACGTCAAATATGTCGTCAAAGTTTTAGGCTCCTAAAGTACATATAAAGTTACTATTGTTTAGCCTATTGGGTTACCTTATTATTCCTACTATATAAAGAGCTTCCTCAGGGCCCTTTCTGTGCGTGCATAAGGTGTACAAAAAATCTTGTCCTCTTCTTCTCCATTAGAATGGAAATGTAAGGTAAAGCACTATATAATCCGTGTATAGAGCCGGCCTGACTATAGGCGACATAAGTGATCGTCTAAGGCCCCGCTTTTGTGAGGACCCCATTATGTAAGGTTAATTGATTGGTCGAAGAAAAACGAAAATTGTAATTATGAAATTCTTTAAATTAGAATTATCATATGCGAACATAAGAAGCAAATAAAATTTGAAAATATAAACGTTTCTAAAAAAATCATATAAATGGCAATGCTTCCTTGGGGACGGTGATTTTGCGTTCAATTTTTTCCTCCATTTTGGGCTATTTGTTACATTCCCATCTCTGGACAAAAACTCTGGCACTGTTTGGGTGACCTTTGTAGAATTGCAAATATGGCCCCCAACAGGGACAGTTTTCTATTGTTTTATATAGTTATGATTTCCCAATGTTTCTTCTTTCAAGTAGAATTCCCAAAATCAGAGTATATAATGAAAATTTTGTAGTAAAACATTTCTTCTTGTTTTTGACGATTTCAAACTATGTTGTGCTGATCAGTTTTCCATTTATGTACATTTTCCTTTCTTGTTTGTCTCCTTTTTTTGTTTAATATTTATCTACATATTACTTTTGTCCATACAAGTTAAAATATGTTTTCGCAAATTTTGTAGTTCACATAATTTCCTTCTATACGCATAGCAGGGAAAAAGAATACCATGAAAGACTGTACCCAATGTTATTGATCTTCCTTTACATATTACATTACTACAACTACTACTACTATTTTGTGAAGTGCGGGTATGAGTAAGTACAAGAGTAGGCAATGCCAATATTGCGGATGATAAAGAGCACGGTTTCAACATTTTTTCTTTAATAATATCCCGTACTCTCCAATCCATCATGGGGATCATGTCATTGAGGTTAATTACATCCACCATCATGGCTCTCGACCAGTGGTACAATTATTGGAGCGGGGGGTACCAACTTCTGATTTGGTAAGCAGTCCCATCCAGTTTCCTTGCTGTGAGATATAGTGAAATGCTTGGGAATCCAACTTTCTCCTTTTAACTTAGCCTCTCTAGCAAGCTCTCTCTGCCTTTCTTCAATACTTGTCTTTGCTTCTTTTGCTTTAGCCCAGCATTTTTGAAGGATACTTTTGCTCACCTCAGCCCATACCAAAGTTGATTCACTTGGCAGAATGCCCTAGAGCATATCAAGAAATCACACAATCAATTCCACGAAAACGTGTGTATATTTCCTATAAACAAACAACAGGAGAACGCCAAAAGTCCATAACATGTCTCGCGGCTGACCTTAATCTAATGATAGGAATTGTATTGTTGGAATTTGATTACCTTCGGGTCATTGACAATAGGAGTCTTCAGTCCTGAAATCGCCTCCTTTGCATTGTAGATTACCGTGACTTTTTCAGTGAAAACATCCTTCACTGTGACAGTTCTACATATTGAATGAGGAGAAAATTGAACAGAAAATGAGATACTAACTAATATTGAAACAAATGAAATGTATAAAACAAAATTTCCGAATTAACGATATGAAGTTCTGAGAGTGTTGATCTTTATTGCAGATTTTTAATAGAGAAGTGGTTTGAATCTTGTAAGAAACCAGATAAATAGCTGCAACTAACCAAACATGGGAGTCCCAGTAGATAATTTTCAACCACAAACGACCAAGAAAAGGAAAACCAAGCCTTATTCAGAATAAATTTAGGGTGGCTATATCAAACTTTCCCATCACTTCGTTCAGTATGTATTTCTTGTCTAACAATTTAAACTTCTAGTCCTTAGATGAAGTGGTTCAACGCTATACCTATGTCAAGCATGACTTCTTGGTCAAGAAAATAGATTTCTGGCTGGATGTTCCTACCCCACCATGTCTGTCCTTTTACTTCATCTTACAAAGAAAGAAGAGGTATGAAGCTCGGGAAATTAAGAATGCAAGAAGTACGTATGATCGTCAATAAACTGTTATTAAGACACTTCATCAAATTAATCTACGATCAAAAGCAACTAGAATAGCCCCTGTTTGGCACCAATTCTCTCTCTCATTTTTTTTCTCTTTTTTCATTTCAACCACACATTCTCCAAATAAAATATTATTACACACAAATATAAAACTTTTCATCACTTTTCCACCACACATTCTCCCATCAATCACTATTCCAAAAATTTTCAACCCATTAAAATAGATGTCAAACACTCACACGTGCATTTTGTTCTATCCCTCCCTCTTGTTCTACTGAGATCACAGTCTTATAAATGGGACTTAAATCTATTTCAATACATAAACTATGGGTCGAAGGCAAGACCTCTTGATTAAAAAAGGTGAACTTTATCTAGTATATAATTTTCAACAAAAGAATATTCAATAACACACTTTGCTTCACAGAACATCCCACAAACTACAGAGAAAACAGATGTTTAAAAAGCATAATAACTCAATATTTGACTTTAACATACCTATCCCAATGGCCATCAACAACATACATAGTCTTGGGAGAAGATGACATGAAGATTTTTCCTTTTATAGACCGGTGGACAGATGGTCGAGGTAAAAACGAGTTGCCTCTGTAGTTTAACTCAGCTTCAAGGCCAGTTTCTTGACATTTGATTGTAACGTTTCCCAACCAGTCAACACTGGGCATAGGGAAGAATCTGATCACAAGTTTTGGTGAGTTCATTATGTAAGTTTCATTCCTATCAAGGAGCTTCAACTGCCTTTTTCCTTGCACCTCGGTTTCAATATTAGTGCCTAAAAAATTCAATCAGGTATCTACATATGTTTAGAATTTGAAATGTTACGCCTCTGTTTGAGACGCATTAAAATTTTCATTATCATTTTTCTACTCATTTTCAAACACACATTCTTCAATAAAATANTTCAATTAAATATTCTTCAATAAAATAATATTACACGTCAACGCAAAACTTTTCCTTATTTTTCAACCACACATCCTCCATCAATCTACTATTCCAAAATACATTCTTCCAAAATAATGTGGTTCAAACACACCCGAAGTTATTCTGGGCTTCAGAAAACATGGGTGAAAATAAACGAAGATCCTTGAATTGTTAACTTGCTGCTACTCATTTATGAAAACTGTACATGTATGAGACTTTTCATAAAAAGTAAATTCGCCCATCAAGTTTTGAAAACACCTCTCCAATAATTTAACGTTTTAGACGAGTTAACAATGGTGTCATATAGTTTATTTCCCATTCTTTATGACCTACTGATACTTGTATGAAGTTCAAAATTTCCAATATAAAAACAACTAAAATTATAGCCCATCTAACCCGAATTTCTATATCACACTCAAGTTGTAAGGGTTCCTGTCAATAACTAATCAACATTTTAAAGCGAAGGATTTAGAGTAGATAATCGAATACCATAGAACTTTGGAAGGGGACAATGACACCATATGATTTCCATGTTTTCCTTCTCATCTGTTGCATGAAGAGCAGTCACTGGTGGGTGATGCGAAACCTAACAACACGAAGGAACGAACCCTCAGTCAATGTTCGGCGTGCTAGATTGGATATATAGGATGAAAGAAGAAATGCACATGTGACACGTACCTAATATGTCATCGAAGTTTTAGGCTCCTAAAGTACATATAAAGCACTATATAATCCGTGTAACTTTCACATTGAAGGTAAAGCACTATATAATCCGTGTATAGAGCCGGCCTGACTATAGGCGGCGTAGGTGATCGTCTAAGGCCCCGCTTTTGTGAGGACCCCAAATTATGTAAGGTTAATTGATTGATCGAAGAAAAACGAAAATTATAATTACGAAATTCTTTAAATTAGAATTATCATATGCGAACATAAAAAGCTAATAAACTTTGAAAATATAAACGTTTCTAAAAAAATCATATAAATGGCATAAAACCTATCACATTCATTACTTTATCTATATATAATTAATTTGACAATTTATCTTCTCAACCATCATTTTTCTATTTCTTAACAAAAAACAAAATGTCATTTCTCTCTCTCCAAAATTTATGGTCATTATTTTTTCTAATGTTCTCAAAGTTGATCGTGATATGATCCAGTGCTTTCTGGGTTGTCTCAGACCTTACGATTGGTAAAGGCAAGCATGACATCATTATGAACATAAAGTCCCAAGGTATGGAATCCCAGAAAGAGGCTCATGATGGGGCTTACACTTATTCAAGGAACTGTTGTTAAAGGCACGGGTATTCATTTCTCTCTCTAAGCTAGATTCTTCATTTCGTTTTGTTTGTTCATTTTTTTCCAGTGTCATCACATTGATTAATGTTTTAATTAAACTAGTGCTTCTTTCTGTGCTATGTAATCTGGTTTAAGATTTTCTTGATCCACTTAATATTTTTTCCCCCTTTTTTATGTGTGTACCAGGGTTTAAATCTTGCATTGTCTTTTAATTTTCCTAATTATGTTTAATTACTTTTTCATTGTATTTAATTATTTTCTAAATCAAAATCAACAATTAATTTTTGTCAAACATTTTATAGGACTGACAACTTTTTAACCACACATTCTATCAATATCAAAATTTGCTAAAAATCTTATTTTAATATCTACTATACTCCATTTTATGGAAATTTGGGAGAAAATGAGTTTTAGATAGTGATTTTTTGGAAAATGTATAATTAAAAAATAAGAAAAAGTTTTCAATTTACATTTAATATTATTTTATGTGAGAACGTGTTGTTGAAAATGAGTTTTTGAAAAAATGGAGGCCAAACACAGACTAAACATTCGTAGGGGACTCATATTTGAAGTTGGCATAAGGCCCCGAAATACCAGGACCGGCCATATCTGTGCATTAGTTTTATTTCCTTATCATAGGTTTCCATTGGTCTCATAAGTTGACAATAGGATTCAACCGTAAGAGTCAAATCATCAAATTGAAGTGTATCATAACACGTAGTAAAAAACATCAATACGATGTACCTGTTCGAGTAACACGTTAAGAGTGCCCCTCGAGACATGGTGAGTCTCTCCGATGACTGGATTGTAAGGAGCCACGCCGAACATCAAAGGACGGACAGTGGATATGCTCCATGCTATGACACTTGTGAATCTTTCTAGTGAAGTTTCTTGTTTAGCAAATTTGCTCAAAATGTCACTACTGTTGCAATACACAGATTCTCCATAACATTGAAGCTGAGACTTTGGAAGGTTGAACATCGGTGGCAACTGAACTTGAATCAAGAAAAAAGTAAAGATGACATGATAACACTATAAAATAAAACAAAATTATATATAGAATTTCATCGACGGAAACTATACTTCTACCCAAATTTAAATTGGGTCCAGGTGTACTTCAATTTGTTTCAACTGGGTAATTATACTTTAAATGACTTGCCTGAAATCCAGTGAGATCAGATCCTGGCCGTACACTATTAAGGAGACTTAAAATCCGTTTAAGAACATTAGGAGCTCTATAATTTCCATCAGAATCCTCTCCCTCCAGTGATAAGGGTGCAGTTAGAACCACCCCATCACTTATCTACATCACAATGTAAAATATACCAAGAAATTAAAGTACAATCGATTGTTACTTATTCGAGAATTCCTTGAAACGTTCTAGACATGTACTTGTGTGCTAGAAATTTAAAAGATATGAAGCATATCTGAATACGTGTCGAAATAGATATAAAATAAGAGACGTGATATGTCGAATACGTGTGTCTACAATTTATAGGTGTTCTCGCTCTATTTGTGGATGCTTATGTAAGCAAAGTACTAAAAATTCTTCTACCTCAATATTCTCCTATGCCAGATCTTTAGAGTAAGCCATACACAATTTACTTGCTCCACTGAGCAATGTGTTTCAAAAGTCAAATGTAACATATCACTTAAGAAATTCATAGAAATTACAAATTTTTATTAATTATTGTCTGAATTTCCAAGAAAATACTAAGTTAAGATAATATATACGAGTAAACTTCGAAGTGGAGCCACTATTAATTTATTAAATTTAGGTTAGCCTGCCGGCGAAAGTTGCATAAAGAAGCAGCAAATGACAGCACAGTGTTTCAAAAGTCTAATTATTATTTAAGTAAAACAATCATTTGGCAATTTACTAAATTCATGATTAAGAAAAAACCATGAACATGATCAAGAGAAAATAATATGTTTAATTAAAAAATAAATCGAAGGAAACGTAAATATACCAACAACTTGCACTATAATCTATACAGCAATATAATGAATAATTTATTATCTATATTCTACATCACACGTCGAAATATATTTCGCCGGAAAACTGGCGTAAGTTGAAGAAAAACATTTCCGGAACAAATTAATAAACGTCGGAAGTATCGAAGTTTGTTTTTTTTTTTTTCTGTACATCCATTCGGACACGAAGGAATTTATTCAAATATGCATATGTAACAGATAAAAATTTCACAAGTGCGTGCGTGCGTGTGAAAGAGAAGAGAGATATACCATTTTAATATAGCTGAAGATGAGCGAGAGAGAATGAAAAGGTGCAACTGCTGAAGATGCCGTGTATGAACTATGAAGAAGTATGAACTATCGGAGCGGAAAGGCCCCTCCTTTTAAAGCCTTTCGGGGGCTTCCTTTTCAAAGTTGAAATAAGAGATTTTTCCTTTTTTTTTCTTTTTGCAGAGTAGGTTTTGTTTTAGATCGAAAAGAAAAAAGAAAGTAAAAGTTTGAAGATATATAAAGGTTTATTTTTTATTTTCCGAACTTGAGAGATTGTAGATATTATTTTGGTGTTAAATGCACTGCAGGTCATCCAACTTTGAGCGAAGATGCATCTAAGTCACTCATTTTTAATTTGGTTTCAGATCACTACTTCGATTTACTTAAAAATCTAATCACTCATCTTCAATTTGATGCAACCAGCTCACCTAACTTCTATTTGCTTGCAGATCTGTTCAATTTGTCTACTACTGTCGGTCTGAGTATATTAATCTCAACGATAAAAATAAAGAATATCTGACATGTATGTGTTTTTAGTTTATATTTTTTAAGGAAATATTTTATGACGGTTGATGCATATTGTTGCGTAACGTGGATATATATGATAGTCATACATTAGTTTTAATGTCCAAAACGGCATATAAAATTAGTTAAATTGACTGGGGATTAATAGAATAACCAGATTTGCAAGCAAACAAAAACTACGTGACTTTACTGTATCAAATTGTAGATTAGGGACTAGTTATGGAGCAACCTATCTACAAAGGCTAACCCTATTTTGTTGTGTTTCTTTACTTAGCATCTATTTGGTACAATTTAAAATCTAGATTTTAATTTAAGTTAAAGTCAATAATTAATTTTAACCATACATATCATAGGAACCACAAATTTTCAACCATACATTTCATCAACTTTTATCAAAATCTACTTAAAATCTGATTTTAATCTACACCAAACAGGCTCAAGCTTAGCATTGTATTATACTTTTACAATGCATTCATCTGACTACAAAGTATAAATTTGGCTTGGGACCTATCTCTATCCCTTGATTGGCCCAACTCAAGCTTAGCATTGTATTATACTTTTAAAATGCATTCATCTAACTACAAAGTATAAATTTGGATTGGGACCTATACCTATCCCTTGTTTGGCCTAACCCAAGCAGAACAATGTTCTAGACAAATGCATTTTGGAGCAACCTATCTACAAAGGCTAACCTTCTTTACTTTATTTTTTTATTTTATTTTTTATTTTTTTTGAGGAGGAAAGGTCTAGGAAGGTAACTTTAACGTGTTATACTTTTGGAATGCATTCATCCGATCATGACCAAGGCAAATTGCATTATGGAGCAACCTATCTACAAAGGGAAGTCTTATCACACATGGCTCACTAATATTGTAACTCATTCTTTTCATTTTCTATTATTTTGATTTTTCAGAAAATCAATCAAAAACAAAAGAAACATTGGTAAGAAATTTTTGGCCTTTTGATCCGACTAATTGACCTCAAGAGAGGCTATTAATTAATATACGATCATTGATATTCAATCAGGGCAAGAACTGAAAAGAACGGGTAATTGGCGATTGATTCATGTATCACAATTCTAAGTTTATAATCATAGTGCTTTACGTGATAGAATTGCACTCATGATATCTTCTTGCAAGCCCATTAAGATAATTTAATCAGGAACTTAGAAAAAGCGATTTTCAAAATCATAAATTAATTGTATGTATTTGTTGATTAAAATAAAGTCCATAACTAATCCTCTTGGGACGATACTCACTCGTCATTTTATTACTTTTTACGATCCATTCACTTGCGAAATAAAATCGACAACAACGTTTTAAGCAATCAAACGCGAAAGCTATTTGCCGACGAGAACCCGAAAGCAATCTCTAATCAAGAGGGAGCAAATATCATTTTTAAAAGAGCTTATTCCATACGTACTTCTAGCCTCTATAGATACGGTTTTCTTATTCGTGATTTGAGTTTTGTTCTTCAATTTGATTTTAAAGTTCATTGACAAATGGAAAACATTAAAAGAAAGTGCAGTGGCTATCGAATTTTTTTTAAAAAATCAATGACAATTAGGAAATGTTTGTAAAAGTTGAGTTGCAACTGATACACCCTATTTTATCAAGAAAGTGTCAGACTGGCTTCATTTTGATACAGTTATCTCCTATGACATATAGCCTTCGCTAGTAGACATTTTCCAGATTCCAGCCTTTTCATACTACCAATTCTAAGAGATTTGGAAGAATCAAATCGCTTGTTTGACTTTATATTTAATCCCAACATTTAAAACTGGTTTATGTTGTCATTGCCAGCAAGAGTAGAAGAATGTAAAGTGAATTGATATTTAACACAATCTTCAGAATATTACAGATGCAAAAAAATTTGATACTTTAGATGGCTATAATTAGTTATTACATGAGCAATACAGTAGAGATGGATATCAAACCCTGACAACCTCCTTCAAACCAAGGCCACTTCCAATGTAATGGGGAATCCAAGCATTCCACCATATTACACAACAAATAAGCAAAACTAACTAGATTGGACGAAATGAGACATTTCGCCATCGTACTATTTATCTTTACATCTTTTTGAAATATATTTTCTTGACGGCCTCATGGACCATATTTCCCAAAGATCCAAAAGAATACCACGATGATAACATACCGGCATGTTTGGCAAGAGGAATTGTGCATTACTTGACAATATTGATGATAAAGGAGAAATCAAAATATTGTTCATTGTACTGTCTAATCCTGTTCAGTATTGTGTGCCAAAACCAGCCTACCGATTATAACCCATGGCCACGACAGGAATCCTTACCTTGTGCCCTCTACTGCCTTTCAACAAAACCTCTCCAAAACTGTAGGATCCAGTGACTGATCGAACAGTGAGCGTCACAGAGAATTCCCGTGATGCACCGGGTCGTAGAGTCATTGCAGGAGGGCTGGTTTCAATGGCAACTGCAGGTGCCATTCTTGCAGTGATCACATAGGTTTCTTCCTGGGCAACATTTGTCACGGTGCGTGTGACTGTTTTAGTTCCCACAAGATG